GTTCGATCATCATTAGTCTCACGCATAGAGTGACAATCCACTTCAATGTGCTTCGTACGCTCATGAAACACAAAATTAGCAATAATTTGAATGGCACTAGCATTGTCAACATATAGTGGAGTAGGATCAAGCTAAAGGCAATCAAGCTCCGCTAGAAGACCTCAAAACCAACCAATCTCAGAACAGGCAGAAGACAGTGCGATACTCAAATTCAGTGGAAGATATACCGACAGAATTTTGCTTCTTCTCCATGAAATAAGTGCACTATCAACAAACATACGCAAACCTGTATTCGAACGACGCGTATCCACACATCCAGCCCAATCAGCATCACTATAGCCCACACATCCAGCCCATACTTGGTGTACTCAGCAAGTATCTAATAATGAGAAGAACTACGAGCCAGGTGGAGATGTCGTGTTATGTACATAAATTGAAAGACTTGCTAGACAATAAAGGAGATATCGGGTCATGTAATAGTGAGGTAATTTACACTACCCACTAACTAGCGATACAAAGACGGATCAGGAAGAAGATCACCCTCCTCCTTTCTATATTTCACATTTACCTCCAAAGGAGTATCAATAGATTGAACATTCTTAAGTCCAGCCAATGTGATCAGCTCCTTTGTATACTTGTGCTGATGCATGTAAGTCCCGATTGGATCTGCAAGCACCTCAAGACCTAAGAAATACTGTAAAGCACCCAAATCCTTCATATGAAACGACTCCTTAAGTCGGTCTTGAAGATGAGATTAATTCGGAGTCGGTCTCGATAAAAATATATCATCCACATAGACAAGAAGTACAATACCCACCTAGCTGGCGATGATAAAGAGCGACAAATCATACTGACTTAGAGTGAATGAGAACCCAGTAAACTAGAAGGAAATTTATTAAACCAAGCACGAGGAGTGTGTTTCAACATATAAAGCGAACGCTTTAGCTTACAAACATCGGTAGAGGGCAAAGAGAAAAGTCCTACTGGGGTTGGCATATAGATATCTTCTTTAAGGTCACCGTGTAAGAAAGTATTCTTAACATTCATATGTCACAAAGACCAACCCCTGGAAGCATCTATAGCAGGAATGGTACAAAACGTTGTCATTTTGGCAACATGAGCAAAAGTCTCCTCATAATCCACGTCATATTCTTGACGATCACCAAGAGCAACTAATCGAGCTTTATATCGATCTAGGGATCTGTCAAGAGCGTAATTTAACAAAATAGACCCAATTACACCCACTAAGTTTGAAGTTAGCAGGACAAGGAATAATATCCCATGCGATTCTCATGAAGAGCTTGAAGAGCCTCTTGAATTGCTTTCTCCCGACAAGGTTGGGTAACTGCCTAAGAATAAGAAGTAGAATCTATGATATAAGATAAAGTTGCAAAGAAACCATACCAATTTGGAGGTTGAGTGATACGAGTGGATCGTTTAAGAGCTGGAGGCTGCCATCTTTGATATACTAAACCTGGTTTAAAACGTTCGACGGAGTGAAAGCCATCCTCAGAGCTAAAGAATGGAACCATATCAGAGAATATGATATGTTGCTGGAAGGAATACTGATTCTCAAAGAAAACCATATTGCGAGAGATATGAAATCGATTAGCAATACCATCATAACAAATAAAACCCTTATCAGCAATATTGTAACCCATGAAAGCATAACGTTTAGATTGAGCAGCAAACTTATGATGCTCATGAGGAGGTAAACGAACGAAGCAAATAAACCCAAAAGTATGCAACATGTCATAGCTAGGATGTGTATCGTACAGCCGAAAATAAGGTAAGTCAAATCCCAAATGTTGAGCAGGAAATCGATTTATCAAATGTACTGCTGTGGAGAGCTCTTCAACCCAAATTCTAGGCAGAATCAAAGATTCCAAGAGTAAAACGTTGACAACATCTAACAAGTGACGATTTTTTCTTTCACCCACCCTATTCTGCTGAGTATAAGGACAAGAACGTTGAAAGAGAATTCCCTTTTGTTGCAAAAAAGACTGACAATCATGGGACATATTCTCCACCGTTGTCGAACCTCAAATTTTGAATACTAAATGAGAACTGTGTCTAAATGTAAGTTACAAAAGTCTTATAGAGTGATATCGACCTCACTTTTAGATCTAAGAAAATATATCCAAGTGTAATAACTAAAATCATCAATAAAAGTCATAAAATATTTATAATGAACATGTTAAGTGATGGGTACCACACCCCAAACGTCATTATAAATAATCTTAAGGCATTTATCGACACGACCATCATAGTCTAGAAATGGAAGAGTCTTGCTTTTCAAAAGTTTACAAATATCACAATTAAGAGGCAAATTGAAGGGCTGAAATTGATCTTTATTACCCAAAAAACCATATTTCAATAAATGAGACAAAATTAAAGTATTAGGATGACCTAATCTCTTATACCAAATATCATGTTTAAGTCTAACATTAATACGAGCCAAAGATATAGCAGAAGGAATTGTAAACTGTAATGGAAATAACATTCAACTTTAGGCCCTCGCGTGATCATCTTTCCCAACCCCTGATCGTGCACAAGACAACCAACATGAGAGAAACACACATCATAGTTATTATCAACCAAGACCAATCGAAATCAAGTTAGTAGATAAGCCAGAAGACATAAAAACATTTTCGAAAGAAGACCCAATATCACCAATAGTTTCTCTTTGTGCAAAAGTTCACCTAGACATACATCAAACATATGAATCAGATCACAATTCAACAAACCCGCTTGAGCCACTTCAAATTCGGGTCATAATTTCATAAGAAGCAGATTGCAGGGCTGACATGCCGCCACGAGGACCTAGCATGAATTATCCCGAATTATTCACTCAAAAGTTTAGAAAATCAGAACAATATTGCTCAATAGTAAGATTACCCCAAATGTAGTTGGCAATCTCTAACTCCAACTGAAATATCCATGCATTATTATCTTGATAATAAATGCGCTTTAAATACTCCCGCATCTCTTTAGCAATAGTAAAGGAGCATAAATTATCCACCATGTGCGCCTCCATAAACCTCAAAATCCAAGAAATAATATGAGCATCCTTCATTTCCCATACACTTAGATCCTTAGTATCTTCGAGCGCTCTTAAATGACCCATCAATGTGACCCCAAAGCTTATTTAGATCCTTAGTATCTTCGGGCGCTCTTAAATGACCCATCAATGTGACCCCAAAGCTTATTCCCTTTTGAAAACATCTTGAATTGAAATTTCCATATGGGATAATTCTTTCCCATGAATATAACACAAAATGCTTCAATCAATGAACTCCAAAGAAACCACCACACAAACAAACACTATATAAAATTAGCCAAATCCAAAACAATTTGGCCCAAATCCATTCATCATTACCAAACCCAAATCGCCCCCAACAAATTGCCCAAATTCACGTCATAATCACCCATAGAAATCCACGACTAACCAAACGCCCAATCTCCGACAGTGCAGATTGTCGGCAACAAGCACAGTTTCAATGGCACCTCTAACGAATAGATTGCTGCCCACAGATGAACTCCCAAATTACAACCCATCACACAATCACACGGGATTGCGCAAATATCACGACCAAACCAGTCACTACCGACGTTGTCACCCACCAAATATGTCCAAGAGATTCAGCACTACCATAGCGCTGCACACCGATTGAATTGCATATGTTAGTACACCATAACGTCACATGTTGACAGGGATTTTGTCAATCGTTGACCTCCACAAGAAAACCAATACTTTGAGTGGCTGGGTATGTCAAGACCGAAGATTTAATATGAAAACTCGGGTATGCTCTGACACCATGACAACTATTGGCTGAATGATCTTTCCGTATGGGTTACTTCCCATTATAGAGAAACGAGTTCACATACATACTACTAGTCCGCATCTCATTATGGTAAATATAAATATGGTAACATACAAATATGTACATAATTAAGGTAGTATAATTTGTCCATAATCTTCATAATAATCCGTCGATCTTATTGATAGGAACTATATTCTCAATTTAATTTTTTGCAATTTCAGAAAGCCCACATATGCATTTTAAGATTCTCCTAAATACATCTTACAGGCATTTTGTCCTTTGACAATTCAACATTAGTACCCCAAAGCATGTCATAAAATTCACGTAGCCTTCTCCTGTTATTCTAATCAATGTCATCCAATGCATTACATTCTCTTCAATTCCTCCTACATTGTTAATAATCAAACCTAAATATCTAAAACTGCCATTTTAAGGAACACACCATCCAACCACTACCAAAGTGGCATTGCATTTATATTTGTCGATGTTCCAAATTTCTAATCAATTACTTAAAAATGTTAAACTTCAAAACACTCCTCCAAAGTTCTAAGTTACAAATTACCCTTTTTAGTCTCATCAACTAAAAGTCTAAATCTATGTCATATTTAAAAATATATCATCAACGAAGAACATAAGTGTGTCTACACTATTCGCTGTTCGGTTTTTTTGTTTTTTTTTTTTTTTTTTTTTTTTTTTTTTTTTTTTTTATGTTATCCTTCACTTTATGGGTTAATCTGTTACGGTTTGATATATGTAGCACTTACACTTTCAGGTAGGTGAAAATGCCTAAACTTGCACCATAGCAACCAAGAGACAATATCAAATATATGTGCCGCCATAAAATTTATTACAAAAAAAACACCACATGCTTCTTCAGGTACCCTTTTGAATGAAGCCAGTTAACCCAATAGGTATGCCTTGCAGCTCCGAACTGAAATGATAACTACAGTAGATAGAACTTCAAAACAACTAAATCTTAGCAATTGAGGGATCACATTTTAAATAGCACCTAAATTAAAGCATTCTACAATCCTCATTACAATTCACATCCCAATAGGCTCCCGGTTAGAATACTTGATTATTTTAAGACTTAAAGTCTCAAACAAAATCTGTAAGCGAAAATTATTAAATATTCAATTTTTATCCAAAAAAAATTCCCAAGAAAGAGAAACTCACCAGGGTATTATCCAAAGTCCCCACAAGAATGAATTTCCCATTGGGTGAAAACTTGACGAAACTAACTGGAGGATGTTCCTCATCGACCAAAGTCTTCATACAATGGCCAGTAGAAGCATCCCAAATCCTACACAATCCATCATAGCTACTCGAAACGATCATTGTCCCATCGTGATTAAAATTAACCGCTGTCACAGGGTCCGAGTGTGCAGGGAGGACCTTAAGGCACTTTCCAGACTTCACATCCCAAATGCGTACAGTCTCATCAAAAGAGCCGGAGGCAAGCATGTTGGAGTGAGGATTAAAATTCAAGCAGAACACGTAATTAGCGTGTCCACTGAGAGTCTTAATGGAGGACCCGGTGGCGACGTCCCAGAGGCGGATGGTGCGGTCGTCGGAGGCGGTGGCGAGCAAGCGGGAATTGGAGGAGAAAGCCACGTCCGAGATGCCTTGAACGTGGCCCTTGAATTCGTGGTGAGTAACAGTAGGAGAGGCAACGGAGTACGTACGAACGGTCTTGTCAGCAGAGGAGGATGCAAGGAGGCGGCCGTCATCGGAGAATTTGACTGTGGAAAGGGCACGTTTGTGGCCCGTGAGCGTGTGTTTGAGTTTGTAGGGTTTGAAAGACTCTGTTGGCTCCGCCATTGCGTGTATGTATGCACTGTACGTGGGTTTTAAAGTTGAGAATGGAGTTTTTCGTTTTTGAGGGATTTTGCAGCTGCACTATCCTATATGTGGAGAATGGGGGTAAGGTTTTGCTTTCGAGAATGTGGATCACATTTTGGCGGAAAAAGAACTGCTCAAGGTTAATTAACTTTCTCGTGTTATTGGCTTGTGAACTTAAAAAGTTAAGCCCGTTAGGTACTCATTTTTTTATAAATGTATTTTTCTCTCTCTTCTTTTTAATCACACATTTTTTATTAAAATAATATTATACGTAAATTAAAAAATTTTCTTTATTTTTCAATCACACATTTTTATCAATTTACTATTCAAAAATACATTTTTACATAAAAATATCTTCCAAACACCCTCTAATTCTATCAAGGGGCTTATAATTAGATTATAACTTAGCTTGTGCTATTTATATCCACAATATATATATATATATATACATCCCTATTTAAATATTAAATTAAAAATTAATATTTTCGTCCACATCAAATTTTAATATTGTCCTTATTAAATTCATTTATTTAGGACCTGTTTGAGCCATATTATTCTAAAAAAATACATTCTTAAACAGTGATTTGATATCACTTCAATCACCCATTTTTCAATAAAGTAATATTACACGCAGATTAAAAACTTTTCCTTATTTTTTAACCACACATTTCCTATCAATACACTATTCAAAAATGCATTATTACCAAAATTATGTGGCTCAAACACCCCCTTAAATATTATATAGATCAATACAAAATTTATATTTTCATCCCACTATAAATACATTCACAATACAATTTCAAAATTTTTTAAAAATCGCTATATTCATCCAATCACTATCAACATTTAATATAGTACTTACTTTTCATTTTCTAAATTGTTATGTCAGTACTTTAATATTTAATTATAAAAGTTAGTAAATCTCTTTTCTTGAATTAATAGGATTCTATTAAGAGTATAATGCTCAAACAACCAAATAGCTCCATCTTCAAATCAAATGTTAATAAGTTGTTATTATTATTATTATTATTATTATTATTATTATTATTATTATTATTATTATTACTACAATTATAACTCTAATAATATGTTGATTTTAATTCCGTTGAAGATGATATTTTATTATTAGAGTTTTATAATTTTAGATGAAGATGGTATTTTATTATTATTAGAATTTTAGTTAACCACAAACTCTAAAAAAATATAAAAATGTTCAAAAAAATTTATGAAAATAAACACTGGTGGATGATGTTAGAACGATATATTTTTATTTAATTTTATCTATATCTATTTAGGTAAATTTACATAAAATAAAAACTACGGATATAAGTAACGATACCCTTGCATTAATAAGCACCCTTAAAATCATTTTTATAAAATCATATTTAAAGATGATTGGTTAATTTCATGTTACTCCTAATATACTTTGTTAAAGTTATTATTTTCAATTCTCAATCTTATTGTCCCCACCGCACCGTTGGATGTAGTGAAGTCAGCTGTCCAACACCCCTAATTAAAAAAAAATTATTATTATTATTATTATTATAACTCTAATAATATGTTGATTTTAATTCCGTTGAAGATGATATTTTATTATTAGGGTTTTATAATTTTAGATGAAGATGGTTTTTATTATTATTAGAATTTTAGTTAAACACAAACTCTAAAAAAAATATAAAAATGTTTAAAAAATTTTATGAAAATAAATACTAGTGGATGATGTTAGAATGATATATTTTTATTTAATTTTATCTATGTCTATTTAGGTAAATTCACATAAGATAAAAACTATGGATATAAATAACAATACCCTTGCATTAATAAACACCCTTAAAATCATTTTTTTTTAAATCATATTTAAAGATGATTGGTTAATTTCATGTTACTCCTAATATACTTGTTAAAGTTATTATTTTCAATTCTCAATCTTATTGTCCTCACCGCATCGTTGGATGTAGTGAAGTCAGCTGTCCAACGCGATCTGTTTGGTTGGGGCCCTTAACTTTTTCCTAGAATAACCAGGGTCTGCCAAACAAGTCGACCTCTGAGGGGAAAGGTTCGTCAATTTTGACACCATTAATCTGATCCTTCTTCGCACCATCTTCTCTTGCCATTGTGCTGCTGCCTTCAGAAGAATTAAATTTATGCACCTGCTAGTTTACCACTGTAATACCAACCATTTCAAATTGTACAATTGGTACCAGTTTGCTCAACTGGCGGTTTGGAAATGGAGAGTGGTGTGCAAGAACAATGTCAGTGATTTTCTTCTGCCAAAATTAAAATGACATAACTGCACTTGTGTACAAAGCCTTAGAACTACAATCCTGCTATTGACATACCAATTGTATAAAATTGCGGCTGGCTAACTCTTCCAGAAGCCATCCCAAAATCTCTCTCCAAATGAATAGAAGAAAATGAATTGGACAAAATCAACATATCACCTTTGGCCACAGCTATTTGACTACTCTACTCCTAACACCACCTACCCATATGTACATTTGGAGGGAAAAGAAATGGAAGAGGGAACAAAATATCTAAAATTCACTGATCTGTTCTCTGAAAAATTGGCCTGGCTAAGTATGAAAGACAGTAGCTCTAAAAGTGATCTGCCAGGAACTTGGAAGTATGATGTGAAGGCAGCGTTTGGGAGATACTTTGCCGGGTAGCGGATGGAGCATTCGGAAAAAATTGTTGATAGTTGAGCCTACTGAAACCTTGCCCCACTTGACTATGTCCAGAAAGATCTTGGGATATCTCTTCATGATGCACCAGCAGTCCTTTGTGAGGACTACTCATATCAGCACAAGAATTCTTCTGTCCTTCCTGTGCATTAGTGTGTGTCCATGTATCCTGTTTGGAAAATTCACAAGTTAGTACTGCATCAAAAGACATCCAGAACATGTGATTATAAAAATTAGAAACTTTTTTTTCTCAAATGTGGCCTTATCTGTAGGACAAACTTATAACAGTTAATAATACGAATACCTGCTGCTGCTGCTTGAAGTTTGCAGTTAAAGATGAAGTTGATCTACCACTCTCACTGTATGGCGTGTTATGGCTTCTCATTTGTTGAAATGAATAGCACAAGCCATGAGAATGTTGGTCGAGGGAACCAAAACCAGAATCTGGCTGGTTGCTGTACCAGTGCTGATGGGCCGATGAGTACCCATGAGAAATGTAATAAGATCTATGGTGCTCTTCTTGGCAAAATGCATGAGGAATTTTCTGATTTTCAAAATCAAAAGATCTTGAACTAAACTGCTGGTCTTGTGGGAAGATGCAAGGTGATACAGCATGAGATTGACCATTGCATGAAAAACAAGATAGTGGAGTTACCGGAGTATATCTCCCATAATCCAAACTTGGTGACTGACTCCTGTCAGACGGCCTAACTGGCTGTTTCATTGTCGAGTCTTCAATAGATATTCCTTGTTGTGCACCAAGATCTAATATCTGTTTCTCATCAAATCCTAAGCTCATGATCAGACTCCACAGATTTCTGTGTGCTTCTCTTTGGTTGTAAATAATTTGATCTCTCATTGCCATTTCAAACTGAAGCTCAGTATTAGCAATTCCCTGCATATGTTATGGTATATATATAAAGGCTTTGTACATAGGGAAAAAGGAGGAAAATCGCCCAGAGTTGAAAGGGAGCCATCTTTCTGAACTGAAAAGAACATCGTGTGTGATCAACAAGGAAAAAGCGACGAAAATGGTATTTCCCTAGTACCAAGTTTGAACAGAAAATTTATAAATTATATTTCTTCTGACAAGAGTCAAGCATGAAGAAAGGATAGCCCAAGCATGAAGAAAGGATAGCCCAGATTGAACTTTTTGTCAAATGAATATGTAAAAAGTAAAATGTACTCTAGTAAATCACAATATTTCTTTACCAGCAGCCTGTATTGACTGAGAATTCGCAAATACGTTTTGTTTCCATTGTTTCTAATGGAATCCTCGGTCCTATTTTGTAGTTGGCGCCTGTGCTCCTCATTTGCTTCAATTTCCTTTGTATGCAGAAAGTAATAATGTTTTAGTGAACAGGAGATCAAATAAAATATAGAAGACATGGAACAATTGGGAGTATCACCTTTTGATAACTGACACCAAGCTCATCGTTGTCACGAATGTTATCAAGAATCACTTGACGCCGTGCTTGTAAAGCCAGTACAACTGCTCCATCTTTTTCAATAGACTGCAATGGCAACAATTGATAATGCTTTAAAATAGACAATACACAAATTAGTATTCAATATAAAATGAACTTTACAAAATTTAGATAGAATTATCCCTAGAGGAAGTGATAGGGGAGAATAAAAAGACCATTGACTGATGACTGCTATACTGTAGAGTTTGAAAATTCATAGTGTTCTTGAATCTTAAAAGAAGCAAGAAAAAATTGGCAGAAGAATTACGGGGACAACATTCAAGATTTGTAGCTTAGATATCAGGATTCTGTAATTCCCACCAACCTGTTGTTTTGCAATAGCGTCATCGAGATGTTGGAGTTCAGTGCGATTGCGGAGGTTAGTTTCTTCAAGCTCAAACAAAGCCTTCTGTAAATTTATCCTTTCCTGGACATTTTCACTGGTTTCTTGGCTCAATAAGTTCAACCAAGAGAGTTCATCATCTGCTGCTTTTTCAGTAGGCTTGGCACTTAGTTGTGAGTCTTTTTCAGCTAATTCCTTCCTCAACAGGCTAACTTCACTCTGTAAAAGTCAATATGGTGTGTCCTTATATTAGACTAGGAATTATAATCCAAACAACAAAGATGATAAAAACCAATATTTACCTGAAGATTGTCTATCATTTTTTGGTAGTCTGATACATGAGCATTAACTGTACCTATATTTTTCTGAAAAGTATCGTAATGATTATAAATATACACATCAAGCAATTTAAGCTAATCGAGTTATCAGGACATTAGTACAAAAGAACAGGAAAAACGTACTTCAGTGACCTGAGATCAGCTATAATCATAAGAGTATACAGCAGATATAGTACATGACAGATAAAAATAACTAATTATATGAATCATCAAATTAACCTGTTACATAATCAGGAAAATTTTTTGAGCAAGTTCTCAATTTAACAACATGAAATCATTTTAGTTTTCATCGTCATAAGCTCAAACCTGGTACATCATCAAAATGAGAATTTTTTTCTTACCTGGATATGCGTCTTAATTTCCTTTGCTCGGTCAGCATATTTCAAAGTATTGACAGTATGGTGATACTGACTGTCAGCTGGTGACACGGTGGCAATCATTATTGTTTGAGAATTACCACTCAGACCATCTTTAAGAATCCGTGTCAACTTGCTGAAGAAAAATTAATGTTAGCTGCATTCGCTAGAGAAATACACAGTACAATAATAATAGTTACCTATTGTAGTTCTTTTTGTGTGTGTGTGTGAGAGAGAGAGAGGGAGAGAGAGAAACCTGTTGCGATAAGGAACATAAGCTAGACCCTTCTTCCGTTGTTTCCCCAAAGCGTTTATGCAATTTGCCAAAGCAAGAAGTGATCGATTGATATTGGCACCATCTCTGAATTTTTGGCCCACACTGTTTGTTTCAGATGCTCGTTCACTGCATTATGAGTTTCATAATAATAATTGCACACCTTTAAATAAAGGAGGACTGAAACCATAGGGAAAAAAAATAACAGACTAGAGGACAACCTGCCGGCAAGATCTACAAGTGCAAGTTTTCCCCTAATAACCTGATTAGAATACTTCCTTTGCTGTTTTCTTGTCACACTTATCTCCAAAACTGCATGTGATCTGTCAAATAGACATTAAAAACATGTGACAAATCATGCAGCAAAATCAATCTGCTATTACTGGTTGCCACTATCATTGAAAAAAGGCCCTTCTCATTGTCTTTTGCAGTTGTCAATGTAATGTTTCCTAGATTAGCTCTTGGACTTCTCCCAGCAATGTTAGATATTTTAATGGGTTGAAAATGTGATTTATCAAAGATTGAAGCAAAACCATTATACCCCATAAACGGAAGAAGAATTACCCACCGCGAGGAAGTTCCATTAACCTCAGTGCTTTCAGTTTTTCGTCTACTGTTCCCCAAATTTAAAAGTTCAAGGATCCTATCAGCTGAGTTCACCTGCATACAACATGACCGTTAAGGACTGACAATTCCCTGACATCGAGTAAAGCTGATATACCTGTTGATAAATAAAAGGTAAAAATGTATGTAGACTATACAGGAAGATTTAGCAAAACAATGTCAGATAGTGTAGTGCAGAATGGTACTAATTTCTGGAAAAGATGGGCTCTCAACCACATATAGTGTTACCATCTATTTGAAATTTTCCAATACACAACATGTACAGTAGCAGAAACCAGTGATGAATCACTCTGCTGGAGAATGCAGACTGAGTTTTGCAGGAATCATTGGTTATTTGACTTGTCAGAATAGTATTTATTATTTTGGAAAATTAAATATTATGTAACACGATATTAGGATTCAATGAAATTAAACTCAAACCAATTCAGATTGTGCAATCACTGCAAGAATCTTTAAAGCTAATAGTCAATTTAAAAAAGCATTTGACGCTTACACTTTGAGGCACTCCTCATATGAGGCTGCTATTTAATAGCCTTAAAGATTGCGCTTAGAGTGATATTTGCCAAGGCCTATGCCTTACTGAGGCACAAGACATACACTTCAGGGAGACAGAGGTGTGCACTACTTAGTCATCTTTTGCTAAGCCTTTTATTTACCCCGCTTAGCTTTTTGGTCTGGTTTTTCTCATGGCTTAGAACATGTTAAGGTTGACCGCGAAAAAAACTAGACAGAAAAGAATTGGTTATTGGAAAGGAGAACAAGTGAAGTGTCGTATGTTGTAGCCTCCTACAACCGAAGTCCCCTAACAAATTGAATTTGCAACATTCTGGTGGCAGATTCACGTGACTTCATTCTTCTCTTTCTTTTATGTTTTCTTCTGAAGGAGCGGATGGGAGGGGAGCAGCTGTTAAAATTAAGCATTGGGTATACTATCCTACGGCTACAAGTATCTTCTCAAATGTGATTGGCATATCATAAAGTTTTGAGACCTTGTTTGATTTTGACTTGAGAAGTGATTTTTTTGGAGCACGTGCAAAATTATTAGTTGGGAGAATTTGTGGTTAAAAATGAGTTGGAGGAAAAAGGATTTTGAAAAATTAAAATCGAACAAGGCTAATAAATCTGCCACAGTTCATCTTGTCAGGGTTATGATACAGACAGAAGTTGGATAAACTGAATCAGCACAAGAATTCACCTTGATACTTCTAAGGCCAGCAACAATGATTCCAAGCTCAGGATCCTCTCTGAGTTCTAAGTGACCCGATGATTTTTCAAGCAAGTCATAGATGACCTGCATGTGGTAAAGCCAAAAATGAGCTGATATTTGTCTCGTGTGTATCAAACATCAGCAAAAACGCAAGCGCTCTACCTCATTGTAGACTTCGAGGTATGAACAAGTAACTTCAAACTTATCAGAGCTATTGTCTTTCTCAATAAGATCAAAGATTGTATTTAGACTGAGAACCATAAGCCCGGGGTCATTTGGAGTTCCGACCATGGTATATGTTTTGCCACTGAGGATGTTCAAGTAGAAGACACATTAGATATCAAATGTTATGAACTATTTTTTGGCAGAAAATATGCTAACTTTTAAAAACCAATCCAAGTAGTATCAGCCAGAAAAGACATCTCCAATCTTTTAGTTTGTTATTTATGGCTTTAAAAAATTAAATTACCTCCCAGTGGAACCATAAGCAAATATAGTGGCATTAAGACCTTGGACGACCCCAGAAATCGTTGAATGAGTTCTCCTGTAGACATCCTGAAAGAAAATGGCATAGAGATAATTTGTACAGGCATATTTCAACACCATTGTCAATGATAATCAAATCACCTTTTCAAATTTGAGCAAATTAGGACACTAATGCCTATAACTTCCACATTCAAATCTAAATACACTCCAAAGCATAGGGCAATCACAATACACGTGCTTAAGCCCATGTTTGGTACAGATTTTTAAATCTTATTTTTTCCCAAACTCATTTTCAAGTTTCAACTACAAATTCTTCCAATAAAATAATTTTGCACGTGAACCCATAACTTTTCTTTACTTTTTAACCACACATTTGCCAAAAATATCACTCTTCACAAAATTATTCTCAAAAATCTTTTGTCGAACAGGCCATAAAATTCAGTCATTAAAGAGATAAGAACAGGTTAATCACATATAGCTTCCTAAGGAATTCTCTTTTCAATATTTTTCCCTTCTCCATGATCAATAGACAGTAATAAATTCACAGGATGTTTAATAACATTGCTCTAGAAAACTGTACTAAACACGTGAAATCCAATCACCCCTAATTCACTGGTCTATGAAGCATCATATTACTTAGAGAAGTGTGAAATTACCAATAGATCGATCATATGCAAGTTTATATGACGATCAAACAGACGAATGAATAGACGACGTAATAATATCATATTAGAGCAAAAAAATCTGATATTTATTTCACAGATATTCCATGCATGACAGATGCATCATCAATACACAGATATGCCAATAAATAACACCGATAAGGCACAAGTGGAATATGACTAGAGAGAGTATATGAGATACCAAATTGGTGGAGTTAGGGCCAAAGGCATGATCAAAAGTGTATCTACGTTCCTTTGTTCGATTCTGAATGCGATCTAAGTAGTCCTTTGAAAGGTCAGGATCCAAAACAACCACCTCCTACAATTGCCATTGATCGTAGATTACTTCATTCCTCGATTATTTATGAAATTTAGCTCCCTCTCTCTATTAAATCCAGAAATGCATTTATAAAACGATAACAAACCTGATGATTGTGCACTCTAACTATATCACGCCCATAGTCTCTCTCAGTTAATGGCCTACATTTCACAGCAACCTACACTCAACCAATGAATTGCATAAGAAGTCTCCAAGCAGAGGAGGATGACGAAAACAATAAAATGGTAGTAAAACACAACAAATTTCGGCAAAAATAATGAAGATACAGTGAGAGTTGTGGTTTTCTTGGTAGGAGGAGCTCTAATGCTTGGCATCTTCAGTCCACATTCCTTTCTTAGAATTTAGCTTCAATCGTATCTCCAATCTTCGAATACCTTTGCCGACGAATAATAATCTTCCTTCAAAATTCAATATCAAAAGGAGGGAAAAAAAAAAAAAAAGGGAACAAAGCCTAATTACTCTTATATATGTGCTTACCGCAATTAATCAGAAATTAAACTTTCGAATTTTTAAGTACAAACATCGCCATAATGCATTTCAAATTGAAAGGCACAGCTGTCCGAAAAAGAAAATTACAGAAGAAAAATGAAATCTCACACTTTTGAATCAAAAGTGATAACAGAATCATTAAACCCTTGCTTGAACAAATCTAGCATTTTAAGCAAACCAGAAGAATAACATCGTTCAAATCAAGGGACAAAAAAAACAAAAGGAAAAGGAATCGCCTAAAAAACACCGATCAGCGTATTTACACCAATGAACACGACGCCGTCCGGGAATGATTCGAGAGAAATTTGTTTTCAGCTAAAAGCACCGAATTCTTGGGAAGGATAAAAAAAATTAACATATCTTCTTGAAATGATAAACTGAAAACCAAATAAGAAATTAAAAATTCAACAAACTGGCCCGAAGAAATCAATTTTGTCTTTCTCTAATCTTTAAGCATTCAAGTAAAGCACGACGAGAACGCCATTGCATTTAATTTTGTAGTAATTGAAAATATCTAATATTTATATATTAATTAACCAGCTACGGTTTTTTTTTTTTTATTCGACATGGAAGAAGACGACAGTGTTTATAAATATTTTATTTCTAGTCTTCAATTTTATTAATGTTTGCCTTATTAATTGTGGAGTGCATGCATTCTTAGAACCGTTGTATAATTGTTACCGTTGACTTGATAGTGAAGAAAGTGAAGTGTGGTGTTTGGAGGAAAAAGGTATTTCTGGACTTCTGTGACAGGCAAAAATCAATTTCGTTAATTGATTTTGATGGGAGTTTAGGAGATTCAGTTTTATGATTGTATCTTTGAAAAGTGAACGTGACCATGCACAAAAAGTTTTGGGACCGGTCAATGTAATAACTAGGATCAGTTTTTAACTACTCATTTGGGATTTATTTGAACCCAATTTTTGGGAGGACAGCAGTCTGTTTGGGAGTGATTTTTTTTCAAAAAATTGATTTTTTGACCGTTATTTCACTATTTCAGTCGTTATATTTGATTTTTTCTCTTATATGTGGACCCCACTTTTCTCTTAACGATCAAAAAATTAATTTTCAAAATGACTCCCAAACAGGCTCTAGATTTTATAATAATGATTTTCCTGGAGAATTCGTGATTAGAAAATAGGAAAAAGTTTAGAGTTTGAGTGTAAAATTATTTTGTCCCTATTTGGTTTGAATAAAAATTGATTTTTAGCAGATACTGATAAAGTTGATGAAATGATAGATTAAAAAATTGCTAAAGTTGTGAATCTCATAAAATATATTATTAAAAATTTGAATTTAAGAAATGGGAGCAAATAAGAACTTTATTTGAAGAATGTGTGATTGAAAATGTTTTGAGAAATAATTAATCTTCAAAGAATGGAGATCAAGCACATGCTTAGCATGATTAGTTGAATAGTATTATGAAGTATAATAAATAAAGTTAAAATATTATTTATGGTTGATATGACTTATTTGAATAGTGTGCTAAATGCCTAAAAAAAACATAAATGTTACCTTCATCGGGTAAATTTATGTGTGTTGAATAGGCATTCTAGTGTGTGGACAAAATTTGAGACGTATAGAATACATAAAATGGATTCACTATAGGACGAAGACAAACTAAGTCCATGTTTGACTTGCATTTCTTGAAATTCATTTCCTCAAGCTCATTTTCAATTATACAATTCACAAACTTTTGTCAAAATTTACTAAAGTATAATTTTTATTCAAATCAAACAGGGGCTAAGATGGCAAAGAGTAGATAGAAGAAAGAGGCATTATAAAACGAACGGTCCACTAGCCCAAAACGAGTTGGCTTGAGTAAAAAGAGTGTTTGGCTCAACTTGACTCCTATTGAAATGAGCCCAAATTGTTCATAGTCCGAATTAGGATGAATCGAGCCCACAAGCACGTCGACCTGTTCCCCACCTGTATCTGGTTGTCTATAAAGAATATGTTTGGTTATTTATAAGTAATAATAAATAGCAATAATAAACAACTTCAGTTTTACAAGATCTTAATCAAACAAGTGAATTTCGCCAGCCCACATTTAAAGCAGACAATCAATTTACATACATAGGAAGAAACAATTTAGTAAATATATTGCTGGTAAACGAGCATATCGCAAGAAATGTCTTCAGATCAGAGACAACCAAAACTGTCAATCGATGTACTAAGATCATTAATTATCACCAACCATTCACTACTTCATGGATCCGATTTGATCCCCACAAAATTCTTATCTGTCAATCGATGTACTAAGATCATTAATTATCACCAACCATTCACTACTTCATGGATCCGATTTGATCCCCACAAAATTCTTATCTATTATTAAGAGAGTGAGTAAATGAAAACAAGGTAAGTCTTTAGTCATAATCTCTTAACTAAAGAGGCCGAATGTTGGAGTAAAGATAACAATGTTTAGTTTAAATTCCATACCAAGGTAAATCTCTAGTCACAATCTCTAACTGAAGAGGCTGAACGTCGGTGTAAAAGATAACAATATTTACTTTGAACTGTACCCAAATTGTTTGACAGTGAATGTGAATCGACATTAGAGTTTCCTTCACTACAAGGACAAGCCAACGAAAAGTACAATTCAGCCAGCTAAGTGATACATACACCACATCAACTAGCTTGAATCTGCTGTCAGCAAGATGTGCCAAATATTTATGGCCTTTGAGCTACATTATTGAGATTTAATGAATCTTTACCAAACAGGGCTTAGGGAGAATGTGTGATCTCCACCAATCAGGGGGCTTATTCTATACTTCACAGATATGATACATCTCAAACATTAAATCTACGAATCAAAGTAATTAATCTAGAAACAATTTTCAGAATTAAGTTCAACAGAAGAGTAGAAATGATTACATATATATGCATATAACCACACAATTATTTCCATTCTATTTGATTGGTTCCCATTCCAGCAGATATTTCTTCCTTGTAAACCAGTAATAGATCAAAATATAGGTCCAGCAGCAAGGATTTCTTCAGTCAACTTGTTGTCCTTCCCAATCTTGTGATACGCAAAAACTTCAAAGTACTTCTTGAAAAGCCTGGCCAGTTTTAGCAGTGTCTCCTCATAAGCCTTCTTATCCAACCACTGCATTAGTAAATCGAATGACATAGATAAAACATGGGGAAAAACAAAAATGCAGTAAAAAGATAAGCTAAGGTTTGGCGAACTGACGGTGTTCATTGGGTCCAAGATTTCCGAAGGCACAACCTCGACCTCGGTTGGAATCAAGAGCCCAAACACCTCAGTCTTTTTGCAGTTTGCCTTCAAGAGGCTACCAGAATGTATGGCATCAATGATTTTCCGAGTGTATGCCAACTTGATACGACTCCCAGAACCATATCTGCATGAATGACCAAGATTCACTGGTTGAAGTCTTTTCAACGCAAATAATAATAGATTTTTTCACACATTAAATTCATTGAAATTAGTTCAACTTATTCCATACCTTCCTCCAGACCAACCAGTGTTGACAAGCCATCCTCTGTTGCACCGTGCTTCTGCATCTTTGCAGCGAGCATTGCAGTGTATTTTGTAGGATGCAACATTATAAATGCTGCTCCAAAGCAAGCCGAGAATGTCGCTTGTGGCTCCTTGATTCCTTCTTCAGTGCCAGCAACCTGTATTTCAAGTATTAGATTTTCTGTAGATTTTATTGATTTACTCCTAATGAAGTCACTCTGATGATTAAATCAATACCAAAGCAGTGTAGCCACTAATGAAATGGTACATATCGTCTGTGGCAGGCCTAGCTTGCTCACTGGAGGGAGCACACCAAATGCATCACATGCCAGTAGTATGATATTCGTAGGGGGTGGAGCAACACATGGAATTTTAGCATTGGGAATGTATTCGATGGGATAAGCTGCACGAGTATTCTCTACAAAAAGAGAACAGATGAGACCCAATTTATATTTCAAATCAACTTCTTCATAAATCAAATAAACAGCTAGAACCTAACTTTTTAGCATAACCAAGAACCTATTAAAATGAATACACCATTAAGAGACAAAAATTAATCAGAATATGAATGGTGAAATAATCAAAAAATATACCTGTAACAGACTTATCCGTATAGTCGACTTCTCTAGTATGCTCATCAAACACTACATTTTCCAATACTGCCACCAACAAGAGAGAATTTATTTACATATTAATTGAATGCTATCAGCAGCAAATATAGATACATGAAATCATGACAAAAATAATCTGTTTTCTACTAAGAGACAATACCAGTCCCAAATTTGATAGCATTCCAAATGTCGGGTTCCTTTTCCCTTGAAAGATCAATGCACTTAGCATAGCAACCACCTTCAATATTTGATATGCCATTGTCAGTCCAGCAGTGTTCATCGTCTCCAATTAAGTATCGGTTGAGATCAGTAGACAGCGTAGTCTTTCCAGTGCCTAAAATCAGAACAAAGAAAAAAATAACACTCAAAACAGTAAATAGCGATAGAAGATAAAGCAAAAAGGTCATTTTCTTTAAATCATAAAGTCTCATTCACAGAGTACGGGTGAGAGGACACATATCAGTTTGGCAAGGCCAGTTTCTCATCGAAAAATGATGATCCGATGATACTTTACCTGACAAACCAAAGAAGAGTGCGACATCTCCATCTTTCCCCATATTGCAGCCAGAATGCAGGGAGAGGATTTGACGCTTAGGCATGAGATAGTGCATTACACTGAATAGGCCTTTCTTCATTTCCCCGGCGTACTGCGTGCCGAGGATGACCATTTCCCTTCTAGTAAGGTTTAAATCTATGCTAGTAGATGATGTCATGTAGTGTGTATAACGATTACATGGAAACTGCCCAGCATTGTAAATAGTGAAGTCCGGAGTTCCAAAATTCTCCAGCTCTTCAGGAGTGGGTCGGATACACCTGTCACCCACCCAGTTATCCAATTGTACAAATAACTAACACGCTTTTTATTGTGGCACCTTTCTACAGCTCTAAATCTCATGAAACTTTCTTAAATCTCCCACTAAATTCTATAAAGGGATTATGAAAAAACATAGGACAATAATATTTGCCAATGTAAAAGAAACTTATTTGGTCGGGATTAGAGAACATAGAACTACAAAAGGAGAACTGCAGAATAATTGTTTATATTAGATTCCATGTAACTTACATGTTATGCATGAACAAGGAATGGTAAGCCCTGGCAGAGACTATCCTGACTTTGATACGGTTCTCTGGATCCCAGTTTAAAAATTGATCATTCACAAAGACCTGAAATCATTAATGAAGAGTCAATAACCATCAATTCCTTCTTATAGGTGTAATACTAGGTTACGTAAAATAAAAAATAATAATATCAGCACATTATTAGGTCTTTCAAGGTACATCCACTACAGAATTTAGGTCGACATGGATTTTCTACATGATGAAATCCACTGCTCCCATTGGTGCTAAATATGTAATGGTAGTATTAGGGTCTCACTTAAGAATTTTTTTATGCAATTTTAAGGCAAAGAAAGGTAAGATGAAAATGATATTAATT